GTTGTAAGGACAGCAACAACAGAAAAAACCTTTCTAAAACAACCGTATCAAATTATAAAGATAGCGTCAGGCTATAAAGATGACTAACGTGCAGCTGTTTCCCTTAATCACAAACAAAGACTTGACGGCACAAAGTAAAATGAGGAAGGAAGCTCAACCTCAAATGATATGCACCAGGTACCACCGGGGCACCTGATTCTGAATTCTGATAAGTCAGTATGAGACTTATGCAGCTTGATTCAAACAGGCTGTGGCAAGCACAGCAAACAAGCACAAACAGTAAGATAGGACCGATAATATTTCTGCAGGTTATATCTGCCTTTTATTCACCAACATCACAATGACAACTGTTGGACTTGTCTAAGCCTGCTCAGTCCAAGCAACATCTTGAAGACCACTATCACATGAATACAGCATCCTGTAGCTATGTTTTCTTGAGACAACAAAAGGTTGTCATGGCACATATTTTGTTGCTTTTTTCAAGGGGGTGCGATGCTACTGAGAAGACAGAAGATGCAACAAGGAGCTAATGCTGAAGAAAAGAGAGAAGCGAGGAGAAGAAAGAAAAGTAGAAAAAAAAAACAACAAGAGTTTTGATTTCTGCACCACCTGCCCGGAGCCACATGCAGACCCGCAGATCAGAATCATAAATCTACAGGAAAACAAAACCAGCTTCTCCTGCTGAGAGGTGAAAGAGGAGAGCAACTGGAAACTCATCATTTCACTTACTAAAGTGAACAGCTGTGGAGCACCAAATGCAGGGGGGGGGGCAGGAGAAGGGAGGGTCTCTCCCGACCACTTGGCTACTCAAAAGATAAACAGAAAACAGAGCTGGACTAGAGAAATGAAGGAGGCTTTAGATAGAGGCGCTGTGCAAGACAAACACTTGCCAGCGTGAGGCTGATATGCTATTGTAAGGTCACTTGTAAGGATGCAGTGAGGTGGACCCTGAAGTCCCCACCCTCCAGCATTCAGTTCCAGTCGCTCAGTCCACACGCTTTTCGACTGTGGAGCATAAACACCGTCCAGAATCATCAGCCACTTATTTAGCACCAAAAAGCTGTTAATTAACAAAAACCTGTCCTTCGTGTCGGCTAAACCATGCAAGTCAGTCCAGGGAAGCACATCAAGTACATTATCATCTGAATGGTGACAGTCTGACGCCTCTGTGTGCACTTTGTAAGCAGATCCATGGGTTTCATGAGGGTTTAACGGGAGCAAAAGGAATTCTATTTAACTGAACCGAAATTCAGTGAGCCAACAGGAAGAGTGTGTGTGGTCTGAAAACACTCCCAGAGTGAACTGACCAAACAAACTAATGAGCATTGCACACACACACACACACACACACGCACACACACAGGGAGACCTTTAAATGATTCAATAGGATTTGCTTAAATAATTAAATAAAAAAGAAGAAAATTAAATTCTCCTCATGTGCGTCTGAGCATTAGCATACAGCTGAACGTGACAAATACTGAAAGCAGATGTTGAAATTCCACATGAATGCTAATTGAAGTGGCCATTAAAGTCAGTCATTGCTCACAGGGATTATATGACCCTGCTAAAGTAAACACCAACTGACCTCCATTATGACTACTTATCAGCTACAGCCCCTTCCTTTCCTTCCCGTGCCAGGGGTGAAGTCTGACACATTCCTCTCGACGAATGTTTCCTCCTGAACTGACAGGGCCAGCGGCATGTGGTGACGGGTCTGGAACATGGCTTGTTATATAGCTGGTAACACTGTTTCTGTGATAGACACCACAAGAGGAATATTATTTCCACATGATTTAGAGGAGGAGGTGTTGGAGTGGGAATAGCTGTTGATAAACCTCGGATGTTTTCCAAACTGCACTGTGCACCCTGCTGTCTCATTATCATGACTTTTCTCAGGGTAATTTCAGCCTGCTTAATAAAACAGACATACATTAAGCTGCATAAAAGCAATGCTCATTCACTTCTAAACAGCAGCGCCTCAGTAAAGCGAGTCCCCCGTCTGCTGTGAGAGCTAATGGATAGCAAATAAGTCCACTCCACAGGAAGGAGGAGTGTTTAAAATGAATTAATATTACCCTGTTGAACCTGGGGGACTGCTGCATGTAATAATCCATCCATTGTTCTCCACAAATGGACCCAGACTTAGTAAACAAGGCATACAGAGAGCTGAGAAAGGCTGGGTGGGAGTAAAGGTCAGCTCATGACTTGTTTTAACAACATCACATTAGCTTAACTTAGCCAGGGAGAAAAGCAGGGTGTCAATCACTGCTGGTTGTCTGAGCTGGTAAGAAAGAGGATCCGGGGAGATGTGTTGAACAGCTGACACAGAAGATGGAGGACGTTGGACTTCCTTCAAGTTCTGAGGTTTAGTATGGGCAGAAAAACTAAATCTAACACCAACCTGATTTTATTTCTGATACTTCAATGAAGCATTAAAGTACGCGTTGGACAAACTGTGTGATAAATGTGTTGCTCAGCAGCAAAGCTTTTCCAACACAGCTCTTTCTCCTTTTCTTTCCCCCTGTCTCACCAGCTTGGCCCACGGGCCAGAACACCACTGTTACACCTTCTTACTATTCAATAGCTATTTTAAAAATACAAGGACTTTGGGGCATTTGGTTACTGAAAAACTAGCCTCATTACGGTTTAGGGAAATGGAAAACTGTCTGGCAGCCAAATGGCCTTGTGATTTTTAAAGCCCTCAGCATACAGTTGAACTCATAGTACCTTTTTGTTATGAAACCATGACATTACTCTGCTATAAAATGTATATTTTCCAGTTTGCATGCACTAAACTTCACCAGATGGCTCCAGAGATTAAACAAACATGTGTCGTGTTAAAAAAAACAAACAAAGCAAATTCACATACATTTACAAAAAGGCACAGTTTTATTTGATGCCTGTTTCTAATTAAAATGCATCAAAATAGTACAATTCAGTGTATGTGTGTGTGTGTTAGCTAGTTTTTGTATATAACATCGACACCTGGTGCCTCTCTGTTTCTCTCAGAGTGCTTTTCTGCAGATCCATATGTCCAGGCTGCTGAATTCTTCAGTCAGTGGAGCCCAGAGTACCCAGGCCTGTCACCACATTAGAGACTCTGCTGGGACACATCACTGAGCGCCACCTCCAGCTGCTGGGGGGTGGCGGAGTACCAGAGGGGGGAGAAAAGAAGGCGCTAGGATAGAGGAAGTGCAGGGGTTCCTTGGGGGGTGGGGTCTTAAAACATAATTCTTTCTTGGCCAGTTGCAAAGTGGCAGCAGTGGAGAGAGGGAGGGTCCGTGTTTCTGTGCGTGTGTGGCAGGAGGGCAGGGGGCCTAGGGTCAGATGTCGCCTGATGACTGACAGCAACAGGCTCAAAATCCCTCACTCAGACTTACTGTCTTCTCAGGTGCATCGTCTGAAATGCTTAAATAATGACAGTAAAACACTTCCAGTGGATTTTTGTTTTGCACATAGGTCAAAGAGGCCTATCCTTTAGAATTTAATTTACATTTATCCAGGATGTCATCAGATATTGTTTAATTTTACATGTACAGTTTTATAGCTTCACTGGCCTTTGCGTCACTATAAAAGCACAAGTTTCGAGTCAAACCCCCCCCTGACTGTATTTCTCAGGATGTCAGAGTCAAGCTGTTGCATTTGCACCATTAATAGTGAACTCGGTGTATCACTGCTTCTGCTGGGAGAACTGCGGCATAGTTAAACTTCACACACTGTCAAACGTCATTCAAAACCATCTCCCGCGCACTGTCTGCCAACTACATAACTGCGGATGTGTCTCTCTCTGTGCATCTGCAACCACTTTCAGGGAAATTATAAAAAACAGGCTGTAAATCCTTCCTTTGGTCTGACATTAACCCAGTTTAGAGCCATTGGACCTCTGCTTTCCCATCGAATTCCCTGACATCTGTTAATCTGTAAACATACAAAATTGCCTGTCTAATCTTATTCAGCGTTCATGTCTTGTTTACTTTTGGTTTAGTCTTGCTGTGACGGTGCAGCTGCCATGCCGTGAATGAAGCATTGTCTGCAGACCCAGAGATATAATCTCCCCCTCTAAAATGCCACCACCACCAACCACCCCCTGCCCCCTCTACCTCAACCCCTGATGGCCACATGCAGGTATTGTACCTATCAGATGCCTCCTGAATTCACGTCCATGCAAAGGTATAGAGAATAAAGACAGCCCTATGGCATTTAGTTGTTTTCCCGGTGAGAGGTCTTCCAGGGAAAATGTGTCTGGTTTTCAGATTTCTCTCATTAAAGCTGCAGCGTAGTTTCAAAGTCTGCCTTAGTCTTTCACTCGTGCCACTGCATTGCATCAGCCATGGTTCAGTAGTCAGCGATGGTCGATGAATTCATAGAAATTTCCTCAACAATTATTTATGTCTTGTTGACAAGCTCACTGTAAGTTGTCTTTATCATGCAAAGTATTAATGCTGGCACGATCAACGCTAGTGAAGTGTGGTCAGATTGAGGTCTCCCACTCTTCACTCAGTATTTCGGTCATGAACGCACACACATACACACATACACACATACACACACACACACACACAGGCTGATGTGAGACAGCCCCTTGGCCAGCCACGGGGAGAGCTGGACTCTCACACTGACTTGTGTTCTTTCACCCTGGGAAGCTGGCGGATGATGTTTGTTTGGTTTAGCTGCAGTGAATGTGTACATACACACACATACACAGCTATGACTAGAAACACACACACAAACTGGAGGTAGGGGTTGGCTTGTCTCCTCTCATTCCCCTGTTTCGTGTTGATTTTGGCCTCTGTTTAGAGATTTTTTTTTTTTAATTTTTCAGTTTTCCATCTCTTACTCCTCAGTGAGAAAACATTAAGAGCCAACTGAAACTTCCTTCATGCTCACAAAGAAAAAAAAAAACAGCCAGTCAGCTTGAGTTATAATGAGCTATGAACCTTCCGGGATCAAAACACGCAATATTAGTAAGACACAAAGAGCGTTTGTGAAGCGGTGCTCACCTCTTGCACAGTCAGTCAGAAACACAGCCTGGAGGATGAACAGCACAATCTTCAAGATGCCCATACTGTCCAAAGACAGCTTCATGCTCCCGAAATCTGAAACACACATGAACAGTGGGAACATAGCAGGACCAACTCATTGACAATAATGTTAAAGGACTTGGAAGGAAAATCATTTTCAAGCCGTTCATACATATCACAAATTTATATATATATACATTACTTGCTTATATAAAATGCATGATTATTACATGTTATACAAATGTAATATCAAGGGCTGCACTAGTCTTTTCAAAGTGGTTTCCATGTCATTCATACTCCTTCTATCCCAAACTACACTCCTGAAACCTTTGAAGGCCTGTAAGAAATTCTAAAGGGTCTGATATGAACCCAAAATAAAGAACTGATGCAGTATTACAAACAAACAAACACATAATCTGCATATATCACAGGATATATATAGCGTTTCCTACAGTGTCTACAGTAGAGTGCCCAGGGTCCTGGGTCAATGCAGTGGCACTGTTATGTGTGTAGGCTACAGGTCCTGAACAGCAAACTGTCCATGAAAGCGTCTGTTTTTGTTGGTGTACCAAGATAAATGTTACTGTACAGCTAGCAGCTTCTATAAGCATGCATAAAATAGGATATTTTAAAACAAATGGGAAGAAAGGACAGTATAAATATGTCCATAACATACCTGGATATTCAGTGAATGAAGTCAACCGTACATGAGCTCCTTGACAGAAATGCCTTGAGCTAAAGTCCGTGTTGAGTCCATGAATCAACAGTGACAGCGGTTGACTTTCCACCGACCTCTAACACACCACAACACGCTTGTCTGACATCAAATAACGGATTCAAAGCTGTAATAAAACCGGACACTTCCATAAATCATATTAAAAGTCCGATATGTTATTATTGCTGCTATTATTGTTGTTATTATTATTATTATTATTTAGCTGAGGGTAGTCCAGCTCTGTGTAGTCCGTTTCGTCCACCAAGTGACTTTTCCAGCGCGCACACAGCGGAGCCTTGTTGTCCGTCCCAGCGCTGCAGCAGCGGGCCAATCACAGCCTGCAGAGGCCGGACATGTTAACTCTTTATCCCTCTTCATCACAGCGCTGTCAGCTTCATGTATGAGAAAAGAGATAACAACTGTAGAGGTTTAAGAGGGATACCACGCTATGGCCATATTACAGGAAGGTTATTAGTTTAATCTTTCTTTAGAATAGTCTATTAAAAGCCATTATCAATTGTGCATCAAAGACTCCCACATTTGTTTTTAAAAACGTCAGAAGATACAAGTTGTTAGTGAGACCGTCTAGAATTCTAAGCTTTTAACATTTAAAGGGAGTATAATCCATATGGTCCAGTACTATATTTCCTTTTGCTATGGCTGATGAACCACTCCATGAACAAGTGCTGCCGCCTAGTGGCCACTGTGTTGACCAGCTCAGTTCTTTCCGTGGTGCAGAGATCCTCCAGCAGTTGCCCTTGTTACACTAGCAGCATAGATGCTGTTATCTCCAATCCAGAATTGGCAGCTTAACCTAACCGTGTGGTCATTTAACATCAAATAAGATTATTTAAATTTTCCTACTGAAATTGACTAGGAAAATTTTGTAACTGAATGTGGTGTAGGTGATGGGAGGAATGTTTGGGGTCTTTAACATGAAAAGTGCTCCTGTTCAGTATAACTGTTGTTATAACTACTGAAAGTCCATAGCGACAGAAAAAACATTCAAAGCAGCAGAGGTTGACTTTAACAAGTGTGGGTCAAGCATTTAAAAAAAAAAAAGCTCCTAAAGATACAAAGTTCCTGTGAGAGCCACCAAAAACATTCCACAACTGTTCTGACTCAGCAGATCTCCTCATGATGAATTGACCTTTCCATGTATAATTGCTAGACTGCCACACATAATGTTAATTCTTAGGTCTAATAATGTGTCACTTAATTTCTCATAAACTCAGTTAAGCAGAAAAAAAGCTGAAAATTCAGTTAAGCAGGATAAGCCTCACACTCCCTACTCAAAAGGCAGGAAAAACAGGTAAATATTAACTAAAGTGCTTCTAGACTTTGAATGAGCATTTTTACAGAATATGTGGTCAGATAATATTCACATTCAAAATATAACCTTCAACCAACTCAGTCAACAGCTTTTAAACAGAAGAAAGTAATTTATTTCAATATACATCGCATTTAAAACTATTTGTTTGTGGAGTATTTTACAGCTCTTATCATGGAAATGTACTGGAATTTTAGAAAATAAGACCAAGCTCTGAAATAACAATAGTATATCCTGCCCTTTAATTACTGCATGATTCCTTTTTTTTGTACATAAAAGTAATTTTTGTTCTTTATAAAAGAAAAAACATACCTTTTCAAAGTGAGCTTACATGTTCTTTGATAAAATAATATTGATACAACAGTAGTGAGTGATCCTGATGATGTAATGCCTGAGAAACTGCTTTAAGTCAGAGGAGACTGGGCATAGCGTGATAATTCACCATTGTTTCTCAAAGGTCCATATGTGTATATCAGCCATTTAAGACCATTCAGATGTACAAACTCTATTATATTATAAGTATGGAAGATACTTTGTATGTTGCCACTGCAATGGAAGCAGATTGAAGAGCAGGAAGGAAGTCAGGGGCAAACAAAGTCCGTCTAAGAACAAAGTATCTGTTCCTCTCTGATGGTACCAAGATGGAAATAATGTAAACACAAATCATCACAACTTTGCTCTTCAGAAATGGGCTATAACTACAATTGAAACAGCAAAGCTTTGTCTCTAATGTGCAGGACCATTGCAGTTAGTAGTCACAATATTGCACAATAATAAGAGAGAGGAAGATAAACCAATGGGCAATAATCGGCCTCTAGTTTGTAGGCCAGCACCTGAGAAGGCCTCTGGTTCAAAACAAACTGTTCACACCATGGTAATGAGTGCACTGAGTGATGGCTCTCCACTAGGGGGCTTTCAAGACCTGACAGTGATGACCAAGGAGATCCCTTTTGTGTCCATCTCAGTGTACAGTAAAACTAAAGATGGTGCAACTGTAAAAGCAATGGGCACAGCCCATAACCATCTAGAACAGAGGGGTCAGGCGTGTTGAAATCTAGACCTCGTTTCTCAAAGCGGTACAGAATTACACATTCATCGCCATTATAAGCATGAAGGATCTCAATATAAAAGCTGCTTGTTTTTTGTTATTTTTGCTTTGCTGGAACTGGTAGCCTGGTGAACACTGCTTTCCAATTCCCATATATAGCAACCCTTTACAGAAGATGTAATGTAGCTACTACCAGTTACCTTTATTTACATGGTTATCATGACTTACATTCTTTTGAGTACTCCGAGTCCCATGGGAGTTCTGGCACAAATGTAGGAAGCTCACTAAAGCATAGGAAAATATGTCACAAGTCCTTTCATTTTCACTTAAAGCAAAAAAACAAGCAAGGTGGCCTGCTCTGAATTTGTGCTGCAAACTGCTACGCAAGACTGTTGCCAGCTAAAAATCTGATGCCTGATCTTTCCATATCCCTTGTGCACCTCTACAGTCAGACAGGCATTTATGAATCATTTATGTGTTGAGGCATCAAAAAAATCTCTGAAACAGTTCTTGTCATCGCTTGATGGTTATCTGTCTGGTCTCTCTGCTCTGTCAGCTGAAGTCTTATTTAGGAGGTACAATGATGACCATTGAGGTTTACCAGCAGTGTGGCATTTTCTTTTTATGCAGTCGAGAATCTGTCAGTTGCATATGCTCTTGTTGTGGCGGACTGTGTGCTTCTGGTGATAATCTGTGGTCAGATGCTGGCCTTGTCGCTGTAGAAGGGCGTCACATGGAACATGTAGCAGTGTGTGCATACCCTGACAGGCTTCACCTGGCCATATCGGGGCAATGGAGCACAGTGGGAGGAGCATCGAGAGCAGAAGATCTGAAAAGAAATCATATATAAAGCAGCATCAACCATCATGACAACGTACAATGTTTTAGTCATATTTTTAATCAACAACACCTTGTGGGTATTCTGCCACTACTACATCAGTCAGGAACAGAGTGGTCTTACCTTTCCACAGCTCCTACAGTGATGCTTCCTGCGGATGACAGTGAAGGGAGCCTTGCAGGCAATGCAGGAGTTACAGGCTTCATCAGGGACCCAGTCAGGAGGATCTACAAAGAACCAACAAGAAACGATTATTACAGAGCAGGCTTGATACTGTCAGAACGCTTGCTGCTGAATGAAGAAGGAAAAAAAACAGGAGGACATTTCAGCTGAACAGTGTGCCTGTGGATTTGCTGACCTTCGAACTGACCCTCCCGGACCTTGGCTGCTAATTCTGATGAGGAGATGGTCTCTTGACAGAGAGCACAGTCCTCCAGCATGGCACTATGCAGAACAGGTCCTGCTGGACACCACAGATGTAGTAATTAAATGTGCTGTAGTTACACTACAGTACTCCAGAAACAAATTGATAATGGTGTAGATGACTTTTTCAAATTTCAAAGTGGGTGGAGCATTTTTTGCAATGTCAGCTGAGACCAGCAGTGTTGAGCCACTAATTTCACATGAATATAGATTTTTCTTTTTTTTTACAAACCGATTTAATATTGTCCCCTCCTTGAACCGCCACCTTATTGTGGTGGAAGGGTTTGAGTACCCGAGTGATCCTAGGAGCTATGTTGTCAGGGGCTATATGTCCCTGGTAGGGTCTCCCAAGGCAAACAGGTCCTGGGTGACGGTTAAGACTAAGAGTGGTTCAAAAGCCCTTTATGAATAGATTAAAATCAAGGACCGTGACGTCGCCCGGCATGGCGCAGCCGGGGCCCCACCCTGGAGCCAGGCCCGGGGTTGGGGCTCGAATGCGAGCGCCTGGTGGCCGGGCCTCCCCTCACGGCGCCCGGCTGGGCTTAGCCCGAACGAGCGACGTGGGGATGTCCTCCCGTGGGCCCACCACCTGCAGGAGGATCCGTAAGAGGCCGGTGCACAGTGGATTGGGCAGCAGTCGAAGGCAGGGGCCTCGATGATTCGTTCTCTGGACACGGAGACTAGCCCTGG